TTTCCACTTTATTATCGCTTTCTGGCCCATGTGTGATAATGTCCATGGGGTTTTCTTGGCATTGGTTCAGAGGAGGTTTGCCATTGCCTTCTCCTGAGGCTCAGAGAGTGTGGCTTGGCCAGGGTCATCCAGTGAGCTTCATGGCCGACCGCAGATTTGAACCCCATTCTCCACAGTCCTAGTCCCAATGCTCAAACCGCTACACTACACTGACTCTCCATCAAATGTTCAAATATGAATATGCATGAGAGAAAATATGCGCAGTAAACAAACAATATTTTTATGCCTATACTACATTGAGCAGTGGGGATAGGAATCATCCACGTGTAGATGTAAAGGGGGTCACAAGGGCAAAAAAGCGTGAGAACCAGTGGTCTATGGGACACTTGAAGATTTGACAGCAGTTCTCTCCCCCTCTCTTTACCAGTTTAGAAGTCCGGACTCCCTTACTACTTTGTTCTTTTGTCTTCATTCGTTGGGGACATGTTTTTGTGCCAGAACTGGGATCCATGGCAAAGGACAGCAAATTACTAATAAAGCAGGCAGTGGTTTGTGGGTGACCCCAGTAGTTTTTGCCTCTAATCATTCTCCCCTGAATAACCAAGCAATACATGGCACTTCTAGGCGAAATTGCAGTTCTGTGTCTAAGGGTCCCTCTACAGGTAGAAATAAGACAATTTGCTGTAGTTCCATTCTATGCAATCCTTGGATCTGTACTTTTGCAAGGCCTTTAGCCTTCTCTGCCAAACAGTGCTGGTGCCTTGCAATACTACTGCGGGGCAGGGGGAGGTTTTCTACAAGTTGGACCCCTTTACTTGAATAACGCATGAACTACAACATGGGCAGCTGCAGCCCTTGAGATGTGCTTTGCCTGAAGCTACCGTTAGCCCTGCCTGGTGTTACATTCCAGTTCAGAAATATTAAAAGAAAACTCCACTTTATTGAGGACAACATACTAAATAACAGCAGAGGCCTAAGAGTGCTGCCACAGTCTTAGACTGCATCCACACTGCAGAAAT